GGACCCCAATAAGCCACTTTTCTTTTCCCTGAGTCATCCACAAAATAGATATCTGCTCCTGTAATGGGGATACTTAAGACAGTATTAGAAATTACATACAGTATATGTCTTTAAAAATCCCTAAGTTTAGATTGAGGGTAATAAATTGAAACAATTCCTTGAAATTCAGCAACTGCAAATGAAACAGGTACCCTGATTTTTGGAAACTTTTAAAAATTTGCCATTGCCTGTCCAAGCAAACTCTCTCTGATGGTCTCTGTTCCAATTCCTCTACACAATTTCATGTAATCAAAAAGGTTGCCAGTTTCCCTATAAGGTCTAATTGCTAACTGACAATCTTGATTTGCATTATCATAAGCTAACATCCTAAGAAGAGTTTCAGCTGCCACAGTATCACTACTAGATCTAGAAACAGCCTCTTGAAGGTGAGTTATAAAATCAGGATAAGGTTCACGTGCACCTTGGTGGATGTTGTTAAAGTTGGAGTCTTTATGCCCAGCAGGAACCACTTTTTCCTGTGCTCCTTTGCAGATCAAAGTTATTTGGACGACTTTATCATCCTCATGTCGCACTTGTGTCTCTGTGTTAGCCCAATCTCCAGATCCAGTTAAGTGGGCATAAATTATATTTAAAGGTAAATTTTGAGCTGCATTTTTTCTAGCTTGCAGCTCTGCTCCCTCAGACTACCAAGATCTAAATTGCAAATAATCCCCTGGATTCAGAACAGTTTTAGCCAAAAGTTGCCAATCAACAGGAATTAACCTGTAAATTTCAGTAATCATCTACAATAATCCCATGGTGAAAGGAGTTTGCATCCCATAATTTGATACCACTGTTCTTAATTTCTTTAATAATTTAAAATTAAAATATTCATGATATATTACATTTCCCCCTTGATCATTTGTTCTTTGATAAACAGGAAAAGCTAATATAGCATTCATATTCCCTTGCTTAGTGGTCTTTTCCATAGTAGACAATGCTTGTAAAGTGCCTCATGATAAAGGCTCACTAGGGGCCTTTAGGTGGAGGTAGAAAATCAGAAGGCTCAGGAGAACAATACTGTTCCCCAGGAGATCCATTATCTTTACAATGCTTATTTTGCCCCACAGTTTGCAATGGCTCCAAAATCAATTTAACTAAGCACCAGGAAGTCCAAATCTCAGCCAGATTATTTTCTCCTTGCCTATGATGTCTTTTTAAAATTTCATTTATTCTATTCCATGTTTATAAATCTAATAAAGTGCCCTCATCTGGAAACCAGTATTTAATAGTTGAATTAATTTCCCTTCTGATATTGACACCCCTACAATAGTCAGAAGAGATCGTAGTAAAGAAACATAGAGCTTATATTTACTGTCCCACTGACCCATGGCCCTGCCATGCCTAATCCTAGGCTTTATGCCCTGCAGTTCAGTATCCCCCAAATTCTTTTTACTTACCTTCCAGGATTCCCCTATGTCCATTACTTACCGTTTTGTTTCTCTTTTGTTGAGAATCTTCCCTGGCCCCTGTTCAGGTGCCATTATGCAGGAACCAGCCCTGCAGGAACTCAAGATGGTCAGTCTAGAGTGAGTTTATTAACAATACAGCTTTAAGTATATTTCTCAGCTGGAAGCATATCCTGGCAGCATATGCATCAAAAGCTGATGATTAACACAATAACCTTTAGATCACAATATCAGTTCAATCATGTTCAGACCTACAAATCAAGTACATAGTTATTCTTGTTTCTGGTTACAGTCCCTGCTCCCAAGCTATGTGGTCAGTGTGTTCTTTCCCAGAATCTTTGGCCTGCAAGGCTTCCTTCCCTTGTTGTTCTTCTCAAGGTGTCCCTTGATCTGAGAATGGCCTCAGAATGGGCTTCACACATGACCCGCAGCTCCTACACCCATTCTCCATAATGTTGTCCATAGTTTTTCATGATCCACACAGTCAGATGCCTTTGCATAATAAAGTACAAGTAAACATCTTTCTGGTATTGTTTTCACAAAGATTCTCTGCTTTCAACCAAGATCCTCTTGTCTTCAGCAAAATGTCTTCTAACAATGCTAAACTTCCTGAATTTGTTAACAGTTCTGTGGTTACAGTCTTAGGACATGCATACTGAAAAGGGTAAGGGGTTTCCCTTGCATACCATTATAAAATAGACAACTTGAGGGGGAGAGAAAGGAATAGCCAGAAATATCACCATAGAAAGCTTGTAAGTCCATCTTCTGCCTTTAACTGATTGGAATACCTAAAATGGGGCTGCAACATGCCCAGTGAAGGAGGCTTCCTGGGGAACCTCTGCATTATATAAGACTATAGGTGGAATCCTGAACAGCAGCCAGAATCTTCTGGGGTAGAAAATTTCCACTTGAAAGGACAAGCAGACTAGCCTGTAGCGGCTAGAAGAACAGAAGATACTTCTTGAAAGAAAGACCGACAGGAAAAACAGAAAACGATATAGGCAGACTGACTGATTACTACAAGAACAAGCAAGTTGCTCACCCAGGAGACATCAAGGCAAGTGGTCGGGTGCCCTCAGAGCAAACTCCCTTCCAAGACTAAGACTCAATGGGAATACATGCTCTGATTGGTGACTACGATCGTCACTGATACGCTAATGTTCTCCCATGTAAACGATCACATGATTCACAATAAAACACTAAAAAAAAAAAAAAAAAGGGTAAGGGGGCCTGTCTGATGTTTCCTACATTTATACAGGCTATTCTCAAATGTTTCATTCACATTCACACACACACACACACACACACACACACACACACACAAAAGAAAGAGGTAGATAAATGACATATGGCATAACGTTAGCAACTTTTTAATCTAGATGAAGAATATATGGACTTTCTTTGTACAATCCTTGCAATTTTTATGTAAGTTTAATAAATTAAACACTCAAACACTACCAGTGCTCCTTACTTACCTTTTGATGCAAAGGCCCAAGTTTCTCAAGCATATTCTAGAGTAGAATAATGGAGTCATGTCTTCCACTTGACTAAACTGTTTACATAATGTCACCGACATCTTTATTTACTATAGACTTTTTTTTTTTGCATTGTCTTTCTCACTATGATGTAGGCCAGGGACAGGCAAATTCTCAGCCCCTGCCCTAAAACGTGAATAAGAAATTCAGAGACAGGGTCCAGGACTCCAGCTGATTCTAAAGTTCAAGGAGCGCTAATCTCACTAGGGCTGCATCTATTTTGCAGACCGCTGTCTCTAAGGAAATGGACACGGGAGCCCTTAAACTCGCGTCAGACAGTGCAGGAACCCACGGACTGACAGTGCGCCCTCCCCTGGACACCTTCCCCACGTAGAAAGCAGTGCTTGGACCCCCAGTTGGGTGGAGAGCAACTGCCGGACGGGGCGGGCCGGAGGCAGGCGTCCCGCCTCCCCATAGTTCATCGGCCTCCCCCTTCCTTTCCTTCTTGCTCCCTTCCGTCCTTCCTTCCGCCGGGCGCAATGGATTCGAGGCGAGGAGCAGCCGCGGCGCTGCTGGCACTCCTGTGCGCGGGCTGTGCGCTGCGCGGCGGGCGCGCCCAGTACGAGCGCTACAGCTTCCGCAGCTTCCCGCGGGACGAGCTGATGCCTCTCGAGTCGGCCTACCGACACGCACTGGACCAATACAGCGGCGAACACTGGGCCGAGAGCGTGGGCTACCTGGAGATCAGTCTGCGGCTGCACCGCCTACTGCGGGACAGCGAGGCCTTCTGCCACCTCAACTGCAGCACGGCGCCCGAGCCCGAGCCGGAGTCCGCCGCTGGACTCGCCCGCTACCCCGAGCTGCGCCTCTTCGGGGGCCTGCTCCGCCGCGCGCACTGCCTCAAGCGCTGCAAGCAGGGACTCCCAGCGTTCCGCCAGTCACAGCCCAGCCGCGACGTGCTGGCTGACTTCCAGCGCCGGGAGCCGTACAAGTTCTTGCAGTTCGCCTACTTCAAGGCAAGTCGGGCCCGCCCCTCGGCACAGCCACGCCCACTTCCCCGCCCCGGGCGTGGGCCACCACCCTTGCTTAACCCTACGCCCTCCACTCTTCCCTGCCTGGGGATCCTGACCCCCTTTATCTTAAATAGAGATGAGAATAATGTTCTTGATGGATTGTTCTAAGGTAGCCATAGAACACCTAGCACAGTGTATACCTCCTCAATAAGTGTCCGATGAATGTTACCTGTTACTTTAGAGAAGACTATCGTTGTGGTTGTCAAGTGCCGACCAGTCCGTTAGGACCCTATATAGGGTTTCCAAGGAGCGACTGCCTTTGGGTTCAAACCGACCTTGCGGGCCAGTGCTTACCCTACAGCCCCTTTTCGCAAGCGAGTGATGACATGAAGTAATGGAGAGGAGAAAACTGAGGTCTGGGAAGGACAGATCCCGGCCTTTGGGAGCATGACTTGTGGGTTGATTGTCTGGGTATGCGATCGTTGCTATCTCTTCCATCTAGATTTTAACTCAGTTCTCTTCCTTCTTTTCTTGTCTGTCTTCGTCTTCTTCAGTTGAAATTCTTTGGGTGCAGGCTAAACATAGCCATGAACTGTGGCTCTGTCTCCTTGGAGTTTTTACTGTGGGGACCCACAGGTTTAAGAATGGGATGGATTTCTTGTTTTACTGGATAAAGGATTTCTCTTGGCGAGTCCTTAGAGTTTTGCCAGGAAAACTCTCTCAAAGTCCAAATTCTTCTTTCTCTTGGGGAAAAAAAATGTTAAAAGGAATATATTGCATTGATTTTAAGGACTACAAAAATAGATAGGGGCATATTCCAGACTCTGAAGGTTAAAATCTTTCTTAAAACTTTGCTTTGAGATCTTGAACTGCAAGATCTGTTTTTCATACTTCCGCTGAGGCTGAGCCACGTGTCTCTGACTTTCATATGAGCAATAAAATAACACAAAACTTTCAATAGGAGAAACATTGTGTTATTTCTGTGTTTGGTTAGTTTTATTCAAACTATCAGTTTTGTGAATAACTTGGCAATGAAAAAGAATATTATCAGGGCACAAGATTAACAAAATTGCAAGAATGTAAAACGGTAGCTGGTGCTATTTGTTAAGCTAAAAATGTCCTGCTTAATTCTCTTTTTGTGTGTGTGTAACTTTTGATAAAAAACAGTCTGAACCAAATTGGTGGTCACATAATTAAGGGGTGGGAGGGAACTAAGGGAGAGGAATGTTTTATTTTTAAACTTGAAGATACTAAGAAGTCTAATTTCTTTAGTATACATATGGATTAGAAATGTAGTGCTAGAGAGAAGAAGGATGTTTTATTTAATGTGACCATGAGCAATTTCATACATTTCTTCACAACCCTTTATAGGTCTTCTGACAATCACAAGTCTGTCTTGATATTTTTGGATCTCTTATAGGACAGATGTCTTAGTTACTTAATGCTGCCATAACAGAAATACCAAAAATGGGTGACTTTAAAGAAGAGAATTAATTTTCTCACAGTTTTAGAGGCTAATAATCCAAATTAGGGTCTCAGCCTAACTCCCTCTCTTGGTGTTTCTGGCGTTTGCTGGCAGCCTTTGGCATTCCTTTGCATGTAGATGGGCCCTCCCCTGACATCTCGATGCCAACTGAGTGTGCATCTGTGTCTTTTCTACTCTGTTTATGACTCTGATGTGAACCCACCCTATTCTTGTATGGTCTCATTAGCATCACAGAAGAAAAAAATTGTTTCCAAATAGAATCATATCTACAAGTACAAGGACCAGGACTTCAATACATATGTGTATATGTGTGTACAACTCAATCCACAGAAACAGGAAAAAATTAAGAATCTTATTAATAAGGCAGAATGTCCACTTAAATTGCTTTAACTGAAAATATCACTAAAACAGGGATGATATTGTATGGTTTACTTAATTGTTTTAACTCCAGTGATGTTTATAGATCCAAGGTTTGTTTATAGGTAGGGAGAAAATGATTAGCTCAGTCATATCCATTCTCCATGGCACCTGAAGGTTGGAGGTAGATACTGAGGGTTGGTGCTGAAGGCTGGTAATAGCAGGGTATAGGTAATTGTAACTGTGACGTTCTGATTTAACCACGCTCCTAAGAGCCTTTATTTCAGTGATTAAAGAAAAATGCCTGAGTTGAATATGGGGCTAGAGAAGGTAGGCATGAACCATCGCAGTGAGGGAAGGATACTTAGATGTGTAATGTTGTAGAAAACCAATAACCAACCACTTGGTATCAAGTGGACGCTGACTCATAGCAACCCCATGAGTGTCAGAATAGAACTGTGCTCCTTGGTGCTTTTCAGTGACAGATTTTTCACAAGTAAATCGCTAGGTCTTATTTTCCGGGCGGCTCCGGGTGGACTTCTATCTCCAACATTTGGTTAGCATCTGCTTGTGTTAACCGTTTACACTACCCAGGGATTAAAGTGTTGTTGGTGTGGCCCTGTGTTCTGTTTGGCAGAGCCAGAGTTGATATGAATAAGATCACTTTTTTTTCCAGAAGAGGTTCCTTTGGAAAAAAAAAAAAAAAAGTCTCAGGTCCTGTGTTAGGGGCTGTCAAAATCCAATTCTGTATCTCTCAGGTGGTCTTCTGGAAATCAGAGAATCTATTTTCATTGGCAACTGTTTTAAAAGGGTGCATTCACACACCTCTTCCCTTCTTTCTCTTTGCCAGTCCAGCTTTTTCTGGCCAAGTTGTGTAAGCTCTCTGTAGAACTCTTTCAGACAGCCCCGCCACATGCGTCTGATCAGCATTCTTTGAATATTAACATTGATATTTGGGTGTCTGCCCACCTCTCCACCAGCTACACCTACAATAGGGCCACTGTCATGGTGTCGCAATGACTTGACACCAATTCTGGGGCAATTTGGTACACATATGTGCGATCCGATGAGTTTTAGAAATCCAGAGTGACCCAAATATCCCTTTATTGTCTCTCCCCAAACTGATATCCCTGCTTCCTGCTCTAAGTACCTTCTGGAAGGGCTGGAGACTCCCTGTGCATATGTAGACGCACCTTCTCGTCCCTCATCAGTTGTGCTTGAGTCCTGGACCAGGGCTGCAGTATGCGTGGGGAACAGAGGCCAGTTATCAGTCTGGGGGACTTTGGTTGGTGATCGTGTGTCTGCATCCTGTTTGCCTGGCCCCTAGAAACCAGTACAAAACACACCATTCCTCCCTGAGGCCTTCTGCCTTCCTGACTTTTGCCAACAAGGATGCCACTAGAAGCTCCAGGGCTCATGATCTTAATGCTACTCCAGATCTTAAGCGAAACATTTTTTGAGCCTAGGGGGATTCCGTCTTTCTCCTCCTTTTTCTTCCAGGCCACACCCATCCCTGCAGCTCCCTCCCTCAAATATGCCCATTTCTTCACAGCTGCTAAGTTTTCCCAAGAGAAAAGGGCTTTTGCTATATGCGTAATTTATGTGTGTGTAAATATATGTAATTTTTACTGCGAATTCAGCGAAGGTTTACAGACCAGGTCATTTTACATTAAAAAAATCGTACACATAGTTTCATCTCGATTGCTCTCTCCTCAATGTAACCTCAGTTATCCCACTTTCTCCTTGCTTTTCTTGTATCCATTCCTCCTTATTTCCCTAACCTTACGAATTTTGTCCTTAGGTAAATGCTGCCCCTTTGATCTCAAATGGATGACCATTCTACGGTGGTGGTGGTGTTGTCAAGTGCCTTAGAGTCGTTTCCGACCCATAGCGTGTGCATACCTCTATATTGTTGTCCCCCTATGTACTTACCTGCTACTTGACTGAAAGCTGAGCCATGTGGGTGAGTTCAGTTCCAGATCTGTAGGGTGACTAAGGGTCATACTCTTGGGATTCCACCTATCCCTGTCTGATTAGTAAGCCTGTTCTTTTTTTTTTTTTTTTTATGCTTTTGAGCTTTGTTCCACATTGTTTCCACTCTTTCTAGGACTTTTTAATGCAATCCCTTTTAGAGCAGTTGGTAGTAGGTAGCCAGGCACCATCTAGTTTTTCTGGTCTCAGAGTCGTGGAGACTGATGTCTACATGGTCCATTAGTCCAAGTGTTTTTATTACTCTTCTCTCCTCTGAACAGGGAGAGACTAATAGATGCACCTCAGATAGCCGCCCATGAGCTTTTAAGATCATAGTCACTACTTATCAAAGTAGGACCTAAAACATGGTTTCTGTGGACTATGTGATGCTAACTGACCATCATGGTGTCCCCTGAGACTATGATCCCAAACCAAGCCTCCAGGCACAGCAAATCATTCCCTCAAGGTGTTTGGTAATCTCTAAGAAGTTCTCTTAATTCTGCCCAATGTATGCTCCACCACATTCATGGATCTATTTGCTGCAAAGGTGAAAATACCCATGTACAGAGAGCCTCTGCCAAACCTTTACATATTTGTGGATATACTCCCAGACTCCCTCCCACACTTATTCAGCCTGTGTATCTATCTGTAGATCACTGTTACTGAAGGACTGTGTATATAAAAGTATTTACCTCTTTAACTCTTTGTACCATACGAGTAATCTGTGTTCTGACTTGACACCTAACTCTTTACAGCAGTGAAACTCAGAAACAGCTGATCACTGCATAAATGGGGAGGAGAGGAAAGGGAATCAATGAATTAATTTATTACAGAATTATGTAGACTATAATGGCGTTGTATTGTAATCAATATTTACAGGGTCCTGCATTGTCCTAGGTCCTGTATCAGACACCAGGAATATGGATATTAATAACACACACCTCCAAAAAAGAAAAACAAAAAACCCTAAACCCATTGCCATTTATTCTGTTCTGATTCTTAGTGAGGCTATATAGGGTTTCAGAGACTAAATCTTTGTGGGAGCAGACAGCCTTATCTTTCTCCCTCGGAGCAGCTTGTAGATTTAAATTAACAACCTTGCAGTTAGCTGTTCAGTGTTTATCCTGCAGCACCACCAAAGCATGACACATTAATTGAGATACAGTGTGGTACGAAAAATGGGAAGACAGGGTGTGTGTGGTGGAACATAAAAGGTTCTTAGTTGAGGTTGCATGGAGACAGGGAGAATTTACTGGAATATATGGCCCAGGAAGGCACGGATTTGTTTTAATTCTATTTTTTTTGCTCATTGTTATAGATCCATTTTCTAGAACAGTGCCTAACATGTGAGAGACCTTCAAAAAGTTTGTGGAAAAATTGATTCTAAGATAATGGGATTTTTCCACAAACTTTTAAAAGCCCCCTTGTATAGGAGGCTTCCAACAACTGTTTGTTCTAACAAACAGTGAATAAATGAATATGTGAGAAGACAGCAGGGATGACTGAGAATGTAAGATGAAGAAGCAGTACTTGGGAATGTTCTGTGGGAGATTTTGGAGAACATCAGTGTATTGTTCCAGGTATCAGCAGGAATGACACATGTCTTATTGGGTGGTCAGATTGAGTAATTTGAGGAAAGTTTAATAACATGATTATTTACAAAGATGTCTGTGGGGTGTGGGGAATCCACAAGGGATAGTACATGCCCCAGGGCTAGTTGTTGTTGTTGTTAAGTGCTGTCAAGTCGATTCCAACCCATAGCGACCCTGTGTGGGGTTTCTGAAGAGCAGCTGGTGAGCTGCTGTTAAGGTGTGGAAATACCACCTCGTGATTTATATGATTTGTAATAAAGTTATAAATATACTAAATGCAAAGAGAAATGGTATTTGTAGAGAACTGAAACGAGAACAGATTACTTTGCTTATTTTTCAAAATCTTGTCTCTATATTACTGATTCACAATTAAATCTCACCCAAGTTGGTTAAGGAAGCACTTGACTAGTATACCTGTGCATATCTTTGTAAGATGTTTTATTATGTATGTCATAGAGCTGAGAAATTTCAAGTGCTAAAGAACATGATATCAGATTACTTTGTACTGAATAAAATGACTAGAGAGTTGTAAACTATTATAATGTAAACACATTTTTGGTATTAAAAGTGCTATGCAAACCATCCAATAAACTATGTGCATGTGTCTTCAGAAAAAAAACAAAAAAAAAAACCACCAACCTGGCAGTCCAAACGGTATTGCAGTCTGGTGCATTAACCTACAGCACCACACCAGGACTCTCCAGAGCTAGTAACTGTGGAGTATATTGTTGTTAGCCATTTTTAAGTTAGCCCTGACTCATGGGTACCCCATTCACAATGGGATTGGACCTTTGTGGTCTATAAGGTTTTCACTGGCTGATTTTTCTAAGGTAGATCATCAGTCCTTTCTTCTGTCTGTCTTGGTCTAGAAGCTCCACGGAAACCTGTTCAGCATCATAGCAACACACAAATCTCCACTGATGAAGTAGTGAGTGCCCTTGAGGTGTGTTGGCTGGGAAATCAAACCCACATGTCCTTCATGGAAGGCAAGAATTCAACCACTGAGCCACCAATACCCCCAAAGGAATCCCCATAGCGTAGTGGATTATGAGCTGGTCTGCTAACCACAAGATCAGTAGTTTGAATCTACCTGTTGCTTGCATGGAGAAAGATGAAGCTTTCTGCTCCCATAAAGATTTACAGCCTCGAAAACAGGGTTGCTATGAATCAAAACCGACTCGGTGACACACAACTACCACCACCACCCATGATCACCCCCTAGATCATAAGGGGCAAGAGAATGGAGGGGGCCATGTTGAGAGGAGCTATGGCTTTCAGTTAAGGGACACAGCAGTCTGAGGTGACTGTGCTGGGAGGTAGCCTGGACCCCAAGTAACTCACACTTACTCTCTTCTCTTTCTTTCATCTTCTATTGAAACTTCTCATTGGTGAGTCCAGTGGGACGTTAGAAAGCAAGGAAGTCCATGGTTGTAGTCCATCCAGACTAGCTTCCTGCAGTACAGAGCAGGTTGGAGATGGAGAGTAGATGGGAAAAGGAACATAGATACCATCCAAACAGTCACCTTCAAGGGAAAAAAAACACTCATCCAGAGTGGTCGGATCATTCTTGAGAGGCTTTGTAATCTGAACCCCTTGCTGGAAACAGTGTGTATCAACATAAAATTACTGAAGATCTGAACATAAATGTCTTGTTTTGTCAAAAATCACCACTCAACATCCATTGAGTAACTTTTATGTTTCTTCTCTGTACTTAGGCAAATAATCTTCCGAAAGCCATTGCAGCTGCACACACCTTTCTACTGAAGCATCCTGATGACGAGATGATGAAGAGAAACATGGCATATTACAAGAGCTTGCCTGATGCTGAGGACTACATTAAAGACTTGGAAACCAAGTCATATGAGGTATGTTTGGATGTTCACACCACAGGTCATTGCACTGTATAAAATAATGCACCAGCACTCGCTACTCAGCTGGCTTTGATAATTCATTGCATTAAACACACAGTTACGGGATTTATTAGGGAAATTAACAGGTTACAATTCCGGGTCAGCAGTGTTCAGGGCAGTTTCTTCTCAGGACAACCTCTCCTCAGCTGTGCCTACAAGTAGACCTCTCTCTGGCCCTCAGCCAGCTGCTTGGCCTGACTTCTACCCTCCTCTGGCGATGTTACAAAGCTCTTTTAGGGGTGGTGTAGTGGTTATGAATTGGGCTGTGAACTGCAAGGTCAACAGTTCGAAACTACCAGCTGTTCTGCAGGAACAAGATGAGGCTTTCTGCTCCCATAAAGATATACAGCCTCAGAAACCCTGTACAGGGTAGCTATGAGTCGGAACCGACTCCACGGCACATCACCACCACCACCCTAATGCCTTCAGGACGCTCCAAAGGCATTAAGCTCTAGCTCCATGAGTCAGTAAAACTAGCTCCCTAACGAAGTGCCTAAAGGCACCCACTCCACAAGTGAGCCTCCTGCCCAAAGGCAGTCAGGTTTGTTTGCTCTGTGGGCTGGGAAACCCACCACTCTGTCCGGTGCTCTGGCTCTTGGTTCCACAGCTCTGTCTTCTGGATCAGAGGTTCAACATGCAGGGATCTCACGGTCCAAGGAACACTCTCCACTCCTGGCCTTTCTTCCTTGATGGTAGCAAGATCTCTCTGATTCTGGATTGGCGCATTTTGTACCAGCAGGATGGCAAAATTAACCAATCACATTTAGCCCTGTTAACAGTCACTCACAACTGAATCTTATAATCCATCAGTGTGTTCCCCACCTTCTTGTACCTAGTACCCTTCAGGAGTTTAGCGACTATGGCTAGAAAAGACATTTAAAAATTCACTGTGAATCATTAAAGAAGTATATCTCAGTTAACAGCTATTTATATCTAAGGACTGCTAGTGGTTTTTGAGACATTTTATGAATATTATGAAAATAGAAATGATTGACTTTGAGCACAAAATTTATCCACTTACAGATTTTTACATGTTGATTTTAGAAATATGATTATTTGAGCATTCAGTTTTAAGACGGTGAAGGAAAGGTGTGTCTTGGAAATAATCCAAGGATGAGCAGTGTGGCGGCTTTAAAGGACAGAAATCATTTTCTCATGGTTCTGAAAGTTGAAAGTTCAAATCAGCATCTCATCCATTTCAATTCCTTTCTTATAGGTGTCCCTGACATTCTCTGATTTCTTGACTTGTAGATGAGCCTCATGCGGCATCTGCCATACCCCATGTGTGCTCTTCTCGATTTCTAATATGTGCTTTTTATAACTTAGAAGTGATAAGGTTTAGAACCCACCCTACTCAGGTATGATCTAATACCTAATTAAAAACAAAACAAAACAAATAAACCCATATTCCCAAAAAGGGTTACATAGTTCACAAGTATAGGAATTAGAATGACAACATATATTTTGGGGTGGGACACAATTTAATTGATAACAACCAGTAACACAAGAAGTAACAACATAAATATCCATCTTTGACAAAACTAGGAAACATGGGCAACCTCAAAGTAACACATATATATGTTAAGGTGGTGGTGGTTATGTGCCGTGGAGTCAGTTCCGACTCATAGCGACTCTGTAGTCCTTTATCCTACAGCAGACGCTGTGGGATAAAGCACTGGACCACAGGGTCAGTTTGAACCGCAAGGTCAATGGTTCAAATTCAACAGCTGCTCCTTCAGAACTGTATACAGGTTCATTATGAGTCAGAACTGACTCGATGGCTCTTAAAAACAATAACAGTGTGGTAACACTTAAAGCTTACCTTTTCACTGACAGGGACCTTCAGACAGAATGTGCTGAAGTCTGTTTCTGAGGGTCCTTCAGTTTTCCGGGAAAAACTTCTGTAGTCTTGTAGGGAGGGTGTAATACCCATGCTTGTCTGTGGAGTTGGGTGGCGGGTCTCACAGATGAGTCAGAAGACGTCCCCTGCCTCAGCCCCATGTCTTAACCTAGACCTCCATTATGCCTGGTCCCAGACTGCTCAGCCTTCATGGACAAAATCTAAAATAAACCACCAGTATGTGGCGAGCAGTTGCTTTGGAAAGTGTGATCTCTTGTATGGACAAGTGGGTGCTGGGAGGGAACCTAGGAGTCCACCGGCCTGGTTTCAGATTTTCAGATCTCAGTTCCAGGACTGAGCAAGATGCATAGCTCATGTCTCCTCTGGACTCTCCTCTGAGATACTTTGGCTTCCTGTCTTTGGAGAAGTTGTTGAAATCTTTTGCCTGCTGCTTTCTTCTCTCCCTTTCTCCCATAAAAAGGGTTTTTACTGTTTTACCGTCTTTTTCACAGGGCTTGGATTGCAGAGCTGAACGCATGTGGTCAGTGTGCTGCATTTAACTGGAAATCAAGAAGATCTTTCTTCCTTCTTTAGAGCCTTCTGGGCATAGCTAGGTTACCCTGCTATGAACCTAGGGGGCTCCCACTCTCTGCTTGGTTTCCTCCCTGTTGCTTCTACACAGCCAGCTGCTTGGCGTGACTACTTGCCATCCCAGCCTCCAGGCAAGGCCCCATCCATTCTCTGCCTGTCCTGTTTCCAGGGGATGTTGCCCGCCCAGGTTTGTTGTTGTTAGTTAGTTGTTGTCTCATAGTGGCCCCATGTGTACAGAGGAGAAGTGCTCCTTAGGATTTTCAAGACTGACCTTTCATGAGCAGATTACCAGTCTCTCAAGGCACCTTTGGGTGGGTTTGAATGGCCAAGCTCTTGGCTAATAATTGCATCACTCAAGGACTTAAGGGAGATAAAATTAAGGGTTTTAGAGGGCACTTAGCAACAAAGCTTGGTGAACATTTCAGATCCAAGGGGTAATCCTCAAATTCCGCCATCCTGGAGCAGCCATAAAGGATCTCCACATGGAGAGTCCCATGCTTGTTTCCAAGGCGCCCTGGGCCCTCCAACTTAATAGGTTCTCACATGTATCCCAAAGCACTACTTATATCTTGTGAAACTAAGAGGTTTTGTCAGCCTAAGTTATTTCTCTTCTGTCTGGTCCAGTCAACAACTAGCAGACACTCTTTGACATTTTCTACTTGGTAGCTGACCGCCCTCCCCCATAACTAGTGTTGATGCATGGGATGGGGAGGGGGACGTAGGAGAGGAGAGTGATATCAGATACTTCTTCTCAAGCTTCTATCTTTTTCTTGATACATTTTAAAACTCAGCTTTAATGAGCTACAATGTATTTGTCATATATCTACTAGTATGTTGAGTCTTAACAAATGTATATAGTCATCTAACGTTTACTGTAATCATGATAAATAATTTAAAAAATTTTTAAATTGTGAATCGAGTGAAGGTTTATAGAGCAGATCATCAGTTTTACATCCAGTAAATCATATACTTTGTTTCATTTCAGTGATCTCAATCCCTCACTGTAACCTCACTTGCCCCACTTCCTCCCTGTGATTCTTGGTTCCTTTCCCCCTTCTTTCCTTACCCTTCTGAATTCTGTCCTAGGTAAATGCTGCCCTTTCAATCTCGAACTGTTGACCCTTCTGTTGTGTGCACACCTCACTAGCATTGTGGTTCCCCCATATATTGAACACCTCCAAAAAGTTCCCTCATGCCCCTTTGCAGTTAACCCCTTGCTTGCCCTAGCCTCAGATCCCTGGCCAACACTGATCTGATTCTTGCCACTATGATTTTGCCTTATCTGTGATTAAATTTTCATTTTGATATCAAACTCTACCTAGGTTTTGAATTAAAAAACTAAATAAAAAAATTTACCCATTGCGAGGGTAGACATCTGGATATAAAGTAAGTTTGCATATAAATATGAGGTCAGTTGGCTTCATATTTCATTAAGGCTGATGTGGTTTCTGCAGCATTAATAGTGTGGAGACATAAATGGAGAAAAGATTGAAGTTGTCAAAGACTTCATTTTGCTCGGATCAACCGTGAATACACTCATGGAAGCAGCAGTCAAGAAATCAAACAACACATCGCATTAGGCAAATCTGCTGCACAATATCTCTTCAAAGTGTTGAAAAACAAAGATGTCAGTTTGAGTACTAAGGTACGCCTGATCCAAGTCATGGTATTTTCAATAACCTCATATGTATATGACAGTTGGATAGTGAATAAGGAAGACTGTAGAAGAATTCATGCATTTGAGTTAAAGTGTTGGAGAAGAATATTGAAAGTACCATGGACTGCCAAAAGAACAAACTAATCTGTGTTGGAAGAAGTACAGGCAGAATGATTCTTGGAAGCCAGGATGGCGAGACTTCATCTCTCATACTTCTGACATATTTTCAGGAGGTATCAGTCTCTGGAGAAGGATATCAGATATGGTAAAGTGGAAGGTTGGAGAAAAAGAGGAAGACCCTCAATGAGATGGATTGGCACAGTGGTGGTAGTAATGGGCTCAGTCGTAGCCAGTGATTGTGAGGTTGGCCCAAGATCGGACATTGTTTTATTCTGGTGTGCATAGGGTTGCTATGAGTCAGTACCAACTCAGTGGCACTGAGCAATGAGAGTGGAGCTTGATGATGGTCTTGATTCCTCTGGGAAGTACAAAATCACCTCAGTCTATGGCTGGGAGCAAACTGCACTTGCTTCTCTTTGTGTTTCAGAGCCTGTTTATCCGAGCGGTGCGGGCGTACAATGGGGAGAACTGGAGGACTTCTGTCACAGACATGGAGCTGGCCCTTCCTGACTTCTTCAAAACCTTTTATGGGTGTCTCGCAGCCTGTGAAGGCTCCAGGGAAATCAAAGACTTCAAGGATTTCTATCTCTCCATAGCAGGTGGGTGGTGGAATGTATCCTGGAGGTAAATGAAATAGCTGGAATCTGTCTTCCTTGTACCTCTGTTATCTCTTTGCATGCCTTCTAGGTGACTTGAGTGGCCTCTGAGGAAGTTTTGAGCTTAAATATTAATGGGTACCTGGGGGTAGCTGACACCTGAATAGGTAAGCCATTGATTGAGAAGATACTGTTGGTAAAATAGTTGAGTATACCTTTCAAGCGCAGGCTTTGGGAAGGAGGTCAATAAAGAGTCTATTTACTGCTTGATTAGAGATTCCCCACAAGCTTTCAGGAACAATAAAAATGGTCCCAAGAGCAACTCAGAGTGACTCACATTCCCTGAGATACCTTTGATTAAGGAAATTTTGCAACACACACAAAGGTAGAAGAAACCGTATGGAAGTCATCATTAAGGTTATAGGAAAATACATTATTTTTCTCATTCTATAACAATGTGTGCTCATTATAGGAAGTTTACAAAATATAGGAAAGAAGAGTGAAGAAAGTGAGAAAACTTGCAACACTACCAACTTATTCCCTAGATGTTCCAAGAGTTTTTCTGAAGTGGACAGGGTCACTGCATTCACCAAGAGAAGATTTCCCCAAGTGGTTTGGGGAATGCTAATCCTACAACTACAACTACTAGAAAGGGTACCCTGACCAAATGAGTTTGGGAAATAGCTGTGCCCTTGTTTGTCTCTCTCAGGGAATCACTCTGCACTTTAATGCTTGTTGTTGTTGTTAAGTGCTGTCGAGTCAGTACCAACTCTTTTCAAGGAGCAGCTGGTGGGTTTGAACTGCTGACCTGTGATTCAGTGGTTAAAGGCTCTTCAAAATTCTGCAATATGGAAATACATGTAAATTTCCCATTTCCAAGGGTTTTCACCTTTTTTTGTTAATGGTTCTGTTTTCCTAGAGTACCATTTTTTCTTTTTAAAACAGAACACTTTTTGCTATGGAAAATTTCCATCATGAGTGTTACATGTTACAGCTGACAAACCAATATGGTACATTATTATTACCTAAAGTCTCACAACAACAATAAAGTCATATTTATAGGAGTCCTGGTGTGATGCTATGGACTGGTATGATGCACTGGACTGCAAGGCTGGTTTGAACCACAAGGTCAGTGGTTCAAGCTCACCAGCCAATCCTTGGAAACCCTATACAGGGTTGCTGTGACTCAGAACTGACTTGACAGCACTTCACAACAATAACAAAGTTTATATTATTACCTGAAGTCTATAGGGTTCACTCTTTAAATGCACCATGTTTATGATGCTAACTGCCACTGTTGCTCCACACCTGGTTCTCACTCAGCATCTTTTATCTAGTGTTCCTCTGCTAGTCAGGGGTTCTTCCTCCCAGGCTCCCTCAGGCTTATAGCATCAGGAAGTACTCCTCACACACAGAATAAAGGAACGGGAAAAGGGTGCTTACTTGGAGCAGCAATATTTTGATTATAGAAAAAAAGTCATTAGAAAAGGGAACATTTATTCAGTTCTTTCTAGATGCAGTGCTCTGTTCTGTGCTCCTTATGTGTACACATTATTTCATTTTTGCAACCCTAGCCCTGGTGGCATGGTAGGTTATGCATTGTGCTGATCATAAGGTCAGCAGTTCAAATCCACTAGCTGCCATGAGGGAGAACGATGAGGCTTTCTGCTCCCATAAAGATCTCCAGCCTTGGAAATCCTCTACAGTGTTGCTGTAAGTGGGAACCAACTCCATGGCTCTTCACCATCACCATGAGGAAGGTCCTAGCATTCTCCTCATTTTACAGCTTGAGAAGGTGGAGGCACAGGGAGGCTAAGTAATGTGCTTATGACTCTCATGTAAAGAGCTGGGGATTTGATCAAGGCAGTATGACTGCAGAGTCTGATGTCCTTAATTCCAGTGGAATGTGTCTCACCTGGTTGAGTCCATTCTGTTTAACCTCCTACTTTTACTTTTGAATAGGTAGTATATGCATATACTATAGAATTTGAAATGCACCAAAGGAAAAATCAGTCTCCTGCATTAGTCATGGTTCTGACTGGCACACCTAAACTAGGATAATTCAAAAAGGACTTATTTACAAAGGGAGAACGTATAGAGGTGTAGAGGAGCCACATGGGGCAGGGACTCACATGGTGTGCCTTATCTGAAGAAATTTCTTATAAGCAGACCACTGACTCAGAGAATACAGATATCTTTACCTCTGATAAATTTTGCCAAGTTAATTTCTGAAAAGTGGTCCTCTCTTGCTTCCACTGATAGAAAACCAGAGTGTGAAGTTTCACCATTCCCTCCTTGACACTTGGTGTAACCAGATGTTAACAGCCAGTTTGCCTGTGTATTTTAGGGGAGCATACTAGTCATTTTAAGAATTCCCTTTTGCTGTTTTTCTACTGGGGATTTTTTTTTTCTTATTTGTCTTTTTCTTATTGATTTTCTGGAGCTTTCTGTATATGTAAAATGTTACCCCTTTGTTATAAGCATTGAAAAGATTTTTTCTTTTACCTTTATTTTTTGCACCAAAAGTGGTATCGTATACCAAGTGATGAATGCCCTGGCCTGAAAGTTTGTGTGTGTTCTTTCAGATCATTACGTAGAAGTTCTGGAATGCAAAATACAATGTGAAGAAAACCTCACACCGGTTATAGGAGGCTATCCTGTTGAGAAATTTGTGGCTACCATGTATCATTATTTGCAATTTGCTTATTATAAGTGTAAGTAATCATCTTCTGGGAGACCATGGGCAAGGTACTTAATCCTTCTAAGACTCAGTTGTTTCCATCTGTAGAATAGGGCCATTGGGAAAGTTCACTGAGGTCACATCAACAACCTTGGTGCTGTATCTTATACAAAAAGTCTCATGATTCGGCCTAACTGGGTGTGAATTTAGCTTTGTCACTTACTAATTTCTCTGTGCCTCAGTTTCCTCATCTGTAAAGTACAAGGGGCCTTTAGAAAGTTCTTGAAAACTGGAATTAAAAGATGATGGAATTTTTACATGAAACTTTTTGAAGCCCCATCCTAGAGACAATACTACTAACCTTGTTGGATTGTGGTGAGGATTAAGTGAGCTACTGTCCATGAAATGTTAAGGATAGTCACACACTGGTATAGAGCAGACTCTATCTGACTGTTTTCATCATTGTTTCCATTCCTTCTCATCCTTAACCTTACTTTGCTGACTGCTAGAGTTTTATTCCCATTGGCCCCACTTTGAGCTGTAATGGATAAAATGTGCTCAGTGGATAAAATGAAATGAATGTGGGAGAAATGTTCATTCAAAGTTCAGACTTGAGAGCCTGTCCACTTGGTGCCTCCCTTCTGTCTACCTTTCTTCCTCAGCGCTGCTGGTAGGTTTGAACTGCCCACTGTACAGTTAGTAGCCCAATGCTTAACCCACTGCACTACTGGTAGTAGTGGTGGTGATGTGCTGTGGAGTCGGTTCCTGCTCATAGTGACCCTTTATAGGGTTTTTGAAGCTATAAGTCTTTATGGGAGCAGAAAGCCTCATTTTTCTCCCACGGAATGAAGGGTAGATTTAAACTGCTGACCTTGTGGTTAGCAGCTCAACTCGTAACCCACTATGCTACCAGAGCTCCTTACTGCATTATTGTTGTTGTTAAGTGCCATCAAGCTCTCACAGACTCATGTTGTTGTTGTTGTTAGGTGCCATCGAGTCAGTACCCACCCATAGCGACCCTGTGCACAGCAGAATGAAACACTGCCCAATCCTGGGCCAACCTCACCACTGTTGCCACGCTTGAGTCCATCGATGCTGCCATTTAGCCAATCCATCTCATTGGGGGTCTTCCTCTTTTTCTCTGACCCTCCACCTTACCAAACATGATATCTTTCTCCAGTGACTGGTCCCTCATAGTGACCCTGTATAGCGTTTCCAAGGAGCAGCTGATGGGTTTGAACCTGTGTCCTTGCAGTTAGCAGTTCAGCGCTTATCCTACAGAACTACATCGGGACTCTTGTCATTGTTGTTAAGTGTTGTTGTGTCGGTTCTGACTCATACTGACCCTGTATAGGATTTCCAAGGCTGTAAATCTTTGTGGGAGTAGAAAGCCTCATCTTTTTCCTGTGGAGTGGATGGTGGGCTCGAACTGCCAACCTTGTGGTTTACAGTCCTGTACTGATCCTATGGAATCTCCAGGACTCCTAGAGCTCCTTTATTTATAAGCACAGGAGGTTTTATCAGAAACTACTCTGTCCTAATGAAATAATGGCAAGGCCCCATGACAAAAAGTTTCTTCTGGCTAGAGGACATGCCCCTGGGACACCCCTTCAAGCCCAGGAGCAGCTGGCCCCAGGGCTGTCCTGGGAAGAGTGAGAAGTAACCACAGCTCTCAGAGCTTAGGTCCCATGTTCTTCGTTGGACTTCCTCGTCCTGTAACTACTACCTACCCCGTAAGGAGCTGTGAGTCAGAACCGACTCCAGGGCACATCACCACCCTTTATCCCATCTCCTTTCCTCTTCAAGACACAGCATGTTTTGCATGCTGAAGGACAGACACCCACTGTAGCAGTCAGTCATTTACACTGATTTTTCCCTGAATAAGGAGCTCTGGTAACCACTGCGATACCAGAGCCCCTTGTATAAGTGTTTGATTAATATATACAGTGATACTGTTTATGAAATAAATAAATATACAATCGCTAATGCTATATGCTTTAAATGGATAGATGCATATGTGGATATAGATATACTTTAAACATATATATATATGTATTCTTTAAGCATATATATAAGGAGCTCTGGTGGTGTAGTGGTTACGAATCGGGCTGTGAACCTGAAGGTCAGCAGTTCAAAACTACCAGCTGTTCCGTGGGAGAAAGATGAGGCTTTCTGCTCCCCTAAAGATTTACAGCCTTGGAAACCCTGTACAGGGTCACTATGAGTCAGAACCAACTCCACGGCACACAACCATCACCACCACCAAGGTGACTTACCCAACAGTCACCCGACTCTTTGGGTGGGCCAAACCTCCTCTCAAGATACAACAGAAAGCTTTTCTTTGGTTGGGATATTTTGGGGATCAGCAGAAGGGGGCAGTGCATTATAAACTAGTGTCCTTCCTAGAAATTGCTCTGCACTGAGAGCAGGGATGAGACTTTATTTGCCATTGTAACCCTGGGATCAGCTGTTTGGTAAAAGCATATATGGCCCAGAGAACATTCTATAGAATTCTATAGAATTTTAAAACATGTTTTCATATGTGACAAGCACTTAGCACATAGTAGGCCCTCAGCAAATATTTATTGATTCTGCTTTCTAGTGTTGAGAGGACACTTCTCCACTAGGAAGTGTTGTTGTTTGTGAAAACCTACCTCTTTTTTTTTTTATTATTATTATTTAGTATAATTGACTGGCTACTGCTTTCTTTCACAAAAGGTTATAATATATTGTTGTTGTTAAGTGCCGTTGTGTCAATTCCAACCCATAGTGACCCTGTATAGGGTTTCTGAGGAACAACTGGTGAGCTTGAACCACCGACCTTGCAGTTCAAATGGCTTTGCAGTCTGGCGCATTAACCCACAATGTCACACCAGGACTCTGGTTATAATATACGCTTGTTGAAGCAAAACAAACAGCTCAAGAGATGAACAGAGAAACATTCAAAGCAAACCACACATTCCCATCTCACTCACCTCCTCAGCCCCCTCCCTAGGTGTTAACTGTTTGCTTTTATTTATCTACACTTTTTCTATGGAAGAGGTCTGTTTTAATGAGAATTATGGAAGATTATATACCCAGGTGTGATAGTTAAGGTTTGGCATCAACTTGGATGGCCTGAATTCTCAGTGGTTAAGAGGGTTGGTGGTTCAAACTCACCAGCCACTCCTTGGATACCCTGTACAGGATCCATATGAGTCAGAACTGACTCAGTGGAACTTAACAACGATTGCCCATGAAAAGATTTAATATAATCACTTCCCCCATGATGTGATCTCATGTGACCAGCCCTGATCTGATGTAATGATCCTATGCATTGTAAATCCTCATTTCTATGATGTGAATGAGGCCAGATGCAATCTACAGGATTTGGTTGTATTTTGAGTCAATTACTTCCAAGATCTAAAAGAGATTAAAAGGGCTGGAAGGATTTGTTTATTTGCTTGTTTTTGTTTTTAAAGTTTTATTGTGAATTATGTGATAGTTTACATGGGAGAACATTAGCTTTACATTCATCCTATCATATATCATTTCATTGCCATGCTTACAATCCCCTCCATGCATCATCAAACAACCAAACGGTATACCCTGCAAGCCTGCCCCCCCCCCCGGTCGTCAGCACACAGCCCCTCGCCCTCTCTGGGTCTAGAGTCCCCAGCCGCTCCATCTCTCCACGTCATCGTATCTGCTTCCATCTCTGGCATCACTGTCTCTCTGGGTAGGATCCTGCTTTCCACTCTTTTCCTTTGATGATCCCAGGGACCTCCACTCCTGATTTGCAAAGTCAACCACTCCTCTCCTTTGCTACAAAACATCTACCTTTACATTTCCAACCCTCACAGTCAGGCTTGATATTAATTATTCACTATTGTACCACATGAGTACTATCCCCATCTCCTCTTCATCAGCACCGCCCAGACAGATAGGATACTACTCATTGGAGATTTTACCTTCCTCCGAGCCCTCTGGATCTAGGCTCCCTCTTGAAAGCTTATAAGCCAGTCACTTCTTGCCTTTGTAGCCCCCTCCCCCCCCAACACACATACTTTGGGTAGCCAATGTCCAAGTTGTCCATCATTCCTGACGATCCTGTGTACTGACGGGGTGGAGGTGATCCTCGCTGTAAAGACTTGTTCCTTTACTGCTTCCATAGGTGTAGGTCAAGTTCATCAAATTGTATCAGATTACTCTTTTTTCCCTCTTCTTTCTTCTAATTGAGTTCTAATCATCCAGCCATTGAAGCCAGGTCAAGTGGGTATGATCTGCAAGTGTGGGTATTCTTGTGCATATGCCCTCTTATCAGCTGGATGCTTCACTCTCCACTATAGTCCTCTGTGGCTATGTCACGGACTCTGGGCCCACGAGTCCCCAGATCTTGCCATACTGCTGGCCAACCAGTTCTCCACCTGGGTTCACAGGAGTCTATTGAATGTGGTAGGACTTAGCTTGCAGCTTCATTGCTGTTTCTCCCTCACTTCCCCTTATTGGTGACCAATGTGGTCACTAGTCAGAGCGCATGTCTGCTTGTGTATTCCCATTGAGTCTTAGTCTTGGAAGGGAGTTTGTCCTGAGGGGACCTGACCACTTGCCTTGATGGCTCCCAGGTGAACAAGTTGCTTGTTCTTCTAGTAGTCAGTTGGACTTCCTTGCTTGTTTTTTTAACATGGAAAATGTCAAGCCTATATGGAAGTAGAGAGGGTTGCATAATAGATTCCAATGTGTCTCTCACCCAACTCCAACTGTTATCAACTCTTTGTCAATCCATGGTTTAAACATTGTCTGTCGGTTGCAAACATAAGCTGGCCTTTATTTCATTTTCATGAAAGTTTGTGCTGATACTTTTCTTTTACTAAATACCTGTTGCATGCCAGCCGTATGGTGGACTTTGGAATTTGGATAAGAATCTCTGAGGTCGTCTAGTCTGTCAAGGCTAGCAGAGGAGGAGTTTAGATGTGTTCTAGACACATCCTGGCTTTGTCTGCTCCACCCTGAGCTCACATGACCCACACTCTGAAAATAGCTTTACATGTCATAGACTGTGACAAAGACTTATAAACACTGGTAGATCCAAACCTCAGGCTGTGCTTCCTGCTCCCCAGAAAATGTTTGCTTTTGGGGGTTACACATTTTCTTAGTTATCTGAAGAAATACTACACGTGGCATGGGTGTCTTTAATGAGCAGAAATTTAGTTTCTCACAGTTGAGAAAGCTGAGTCTGAATTTAGGGAACCTAGGTTGAAGGGTAGGTCTCTCAGTTGACTCTGGGGAAAGAGCTTGCTCCTTGATTACCTGCTAATTTTATATGGCTTGGTTTCTATCCTCCTCCACCTCTGTTAGTTAATTTGCTCTTTTTGTATCTAAGAAGAGATATAAAATACATCTTACTCTGACTCATTAACATAAAACCATTCTCAAATGGAATGATAATCCTAGGAATGTTGTTAAGTACCTTCTAGTCAACCCTGTTTAGGGTTACCAAGGAGCGATTGGTGGGTTTGAACCGCCAACCTTGTAGTTAGCAGTCCTGTGCTTGTTCTATAGCACCACACCAGTACTCCTAACCACAGATTGGAATTTACCACACATATTATTGAGGGCCATCATAATCTAGTCTATAACACATTCAAACACTAAAAGTAAAATTTAATTACTAAATTGGCTTCTTAACAATCGTCTGCTCTGCTTTGATCTCTTCTTAAATTACAGACCTTACTGACTTTGTTGAGGACAGGGTTGCTTCTTAGGAGTGACTAGTGAGTTTGAACTGCCGACCTTGTGATTTATCCCACGGGGCCACACCAGGACTCTAATCACCCTGTATGTTGTTAAGTGCTGTCGAGTTGGTTCCAACCCATAACAGCTCCCTGGATAGGGTGTCCTTTTAAAGTTGTAATTACAGAATATGACCAGTGGGTGGCAAGATTTAGTCATACACAAGTTTTAGTTGTTGGAGTGGAAAGTGCCAGAGTAAATGCCCAGGGGCTTTTGTGTCTCATTGTCTGAAACTTTCCATTAGCCTGCCCCCACTCCCAAGATAAATCCCAGCCCCTGCAAAATCTCACTGCTGAGGTGCTGTGAAATGGGTATCACTATCCTGGAGAAGCTGGAGGTGGGAACCCCAGTCCCCAGGAGATATCAAGAACAGATGACTATTGGATCTCTTCCAGCTCAGTGTTTACCTTCCTTTGGTTTTTCAAATATAGTTTAGCTCTAGGGGCCAGTCTGGAGACTGTGGCCCATCCAATGGGACCCAGTTGTGTAGGTCAACTGTAGGCCCTAAATTATGAGCATGTTCTTCTGAACTTGTCCTCCGTAGCTCTGTGGAGCTGACCTTAGAACTCAGCCTTCCTTGGGGTACTGGGCTGTGAGACCTGCCCAGGTTCCTAGAGCTGGAGGCCCTATGCAGGCATTTCTGCAAAGGTATCTACGTAACGAGTAATGCCCATGTATCAAAGCCAATCATCAGGCCAGATGGACTGCCTAGAAGGGGCTTGTTCACGAACTTTCTCTTTAGAAAGCTTTACTTCTGGGATGGGTGGCTGGTAAGAGGAAGCTCAGGGCAGGGTTTGCTGAGTTCCCTGTTCCCCGCTTTCTCCCTGAATGTAGTGAACGACCTGAAGAACGCAGCCCCCTGTGCCATCAGCTACCTGCTCTTTGACCAGAACGACAAGGTCATGAAGCAGAACCTGGTCTATTACCAGTACCATCGGGAGAAGTGGGGCCTCTCAGACGAGCATTTCCAGCCCAGGCCAGTAAGTGCACGTACCTGTGCCCCGAGCGGTACTTTCTCATTTCTCCACTTTGTTCTCACTTTCAGGACACTACTGTGCCTACTGAGGAGATGGGCTCGTTCTCTCTCCCCCTTCCCTGTAGTTTATTTGTTCTTTTAACATATCACTGCTTTAGTCTGACATGAAAATAAATAAAAACTACAAACCTTACAGAAATATTTCATTTAGAAAATGAAATGCTTTCCTAAGCCCACCTCGTTTTACCTCTTGCTTTAAAGGTAAACATTTAGTTACTTATACAGCCTGCAATTGTATACTGATACAGAAAAGGGATAGACTCTGCATACTATCTTGCAATTTTCACTGCCTTAACATGAAGCTCTTCCTGAACACTTTTCCATGTCACACCCATATAACCCCTTCATTTTCTTTTCTCATAGTTTCATGGTGTATGTTCTTTGATGGACAAACTTACAGTTTTGCATCCAGTTTCAGAGACCTCTGTGAATTAGATATTACGTTCAAAGTATCTTTTTTTTTGTTGATCTTTGTCTCTAAGTTGTACTGCCTTTTACGGTTTCAATAGGTTCTCTGGATTGCTATACATACATTGTCCTACCCAGTTCATGCCTCTGCTTTTTCACATACGCACACACACACATATACACACCTACTCATACTCTCTCTCACTTGTTTGTTCCACTGACTCAATTGGCTGCTCTTTTTATTAATATTATGTACATATGGTAAAATTCATTTCTTAAAAGTATATAGCTCAGTTGGTTTTAGCATAGTCACAGAGGTGTACAACCATCCCCATATCTCATTTTCTTAGTTTTCTCAACAATTTATGAGGTATACATTCAACTAATAATAATATTGTCACTATTAGCTGCCGGGGAATAAGCCCTCTGACTCAGGGTGACCCACACACTCCACTGTCTCGTTTGTATCACCCCAAAGAAAAACACCATTCTTCCCTCTCACCAGCCCCTAGCAGACCTGAGTGTACTTTATGTCTCTATGAATTTGACTCTTCTGGAAATTTCATGTTATCCTATCATATGTTAACCCATCTGTTGGTAGACATTTGGCTTGTTTCCACTTTTTGATGGTTATGAATAATGCTGCTATGAACATTCATATACAAGTTTTTATTTAGACATGTTTTAATTTCTTTGAGTGGAATTGCTGGGTCATATGATAACCCTGCGTTTCACCTTTTGAGAAACTTCCAGACTGTTTTCCAAAGTGGCTGCACCATTCTATATTTCTACCAGGAGTGTATGAGGATTCTTATTTCTCCACATCCCCTCCAACACTTGTCATTGTCTGTCTTTTTAATGATAGCCATCCAAGTGGATATGTGTCCACTCTTTTTTTTTTTTTTATGTTTATATTTTCCATTTCATTTTTTTTTTTTTTTTAAGGTTTTTATTGTGGATTGATTGAAAGTTTACAGGGCACATCATCAGTTTCACATTCAACTATTCATATGACTTGTTTCATTACATTGATTATAATCCCATCCATACATCATCAGTTAACAGTGTTTCTCTCTACCCTCTTTAGCTTTTTTTTTTTTGCGGGGGGCGAGGGGGAAACTTTGCCTTTTTGGAATTTACAGTCTCGGCTTTTAGGGAAGGTTTTTACATTTATCTGTGGATATCCAGGGCTCATGTATGTGATTACTAACAAGCATAACTGAATAATCAGATGAGGGACATTTTGCTATGTCTGCTAGGTGGCTAAAGTCTGATCCTCAGAGCCTATGGTTTGCACGGTCTGCAACGCTTGGGCCCACAGGGACTTGAACTCCTGACCAGGTCTGCACAGTCTGCATCAGATTCCCCCTTATTTTCCACTCTTTTTTAAAGTCAGTGTTTTGGTGGTTATTTTTCCATGGCACTGTGGCTAAGATCCACTGTGGAGGGATACCAAATTGGGATCATTCCACTTTAAAATGCTGAAGCGCTGACATTAGAAGGCTGATCATATAAAACTGTTCTCTGCTTGTGTCTGGACAGGAAGCAGTTCAGTTCTTTAATGTGACCACACTCCAGAATGAGCTGTACGACTTTGCTAAGGAAAACATCATGGATGATGATGAGGTAAGTTGTCATGTTCAGTGCATGTCTGGCTAAGAGAAAATATGACTTACTCACATACTTGCTAAAATCACTGGAAGGTCGAGTTGTCCCTGAAAATAAGAAACAGAAGGAGACCTTGGGAAATCTGGATTATGTGGGTGTTTTAATGAAAGTCAGAACACTAGCACAGAAAAGATGACTTTCTAGGAACGCGAGACTGAAGCCCCACATTTCCTGATGGGGAGCACAGAGCAACATACCAGGAACTTGTGACGTCACCACCAGTTCCTAACGCTGGGGAAATCTCAGTGACTGTTTCATTGCTCTACACTCTAAAGTTACCTGGAACCCTCCCCTCCCTGTAATTTTTATATGCCAGACTATTATGGGGTTTCTTTTCCTTTTTTTCAAGTCTTTACTCTTTTAAGTGTCATCTTATCATTTTCTGGAATTTTCTTGAAATTCCTGACTTAAGTGTCACTCAGTTGATTCTGTTTTTGAAAAAGAGACTGAACTGGTTATAAAGTTATCATTTGTGTTGGGGCAGCTTAGTCACAGAAAAGCTATCATTAGGGGCAGTTTTCAGAGCAAACCAGGAAATGCATTTTAAGACAACTAAAGACATGCTGGTGTGGCACTGTAGGATAAGCACTCGACTGCAAGGTTGGTTTGAACTGCAAGGTCGGCGGTTCAAACTCACCAGCCACTTCTTAGAAGCCTTACAGGGTCACTATGAGTTGGAAACAATTCGAGAGCACTTAACAACAACAAGGACAAGCTGGCCACTGGGGCTGGAAGAGAGCTGAAAGACAGTTCTAGTATGGCTCCTCACTTTCTGGATGAGGCGCATGGGATACAGAAAAGTCACGGGACCTGTGAACCAGAGCCTAGAGTCCCTGTGCTTTCCACTGCCCCAGTTTTAGGTGAGAAAGTGAGGCATTGTCTTGGAATTTGTTTGATGTCTAAGAATCTGTGGGATAGATCCATCACTAGGCATTCATTTTCTTCTCAAAGCGTCAGTTACCAGTAAAAAACAAAAGTTATCAGTAAAATGGTAGTAATACTATTGACCCCATAAGGAATGGTTATTGCATGTGGAATAAATTGCATGTATAAATTGGCAAGTGCTACATGTGCCATGTGTCTTCGGTTGGGTCCCCTCAAAGAAAAGCCTGAGCTAGGACTCTCTCTCTCGCTCTCTCTCTCTCTCTCTCTCTCTCTCTCTCTCTCTCTCTCTCTCTCTATATATATATATATATATATATATATATATATATATATATATATGCCTGTATATTTTCCAGACTGTAACAACAACCTTGTGTGTATCTGGCAGCATTCTCTCCTTTGGGGAATGGCTTTACAGCATCCTTGTGGTCCTAGAGTCCTGGTGTGGTGCTGTGGGTTAATGCATCAGACTTCAAAGCCATTTGAACTGCAAGGCTGGTGGTTCAAGCTTACCAGCTGCTCCTTGTAAACCCTACACAGGGTCACTATGGGTCAAACTGACTTGACGGCACTTAATAACAACAACTATATATATATATATTAGTTTTCATTGTGAATTGAGTGAAAATTTACAGGGCAGATCATCAGTTTTACATCAAATGAATCATATCCTTTGTTTCATTACAATGATTATAATCCCCTCCATGTACCATTAGTTAACAGTATTTCTTCTATTCATTTTACCTATTTTTAAAAACACTCAGGCATATATAATAATTTAAACCAACAAAGGGCACATTCTGCAAGCCTGTCTCCTGGCCACCATCTCTCAGTCCCTCTAATTCCATGAATCCAGAGTCCTCAGCAGCTCCCCATCTCCGCCTCCACCTCTGGTGTCCCTGCTTCTCTGGATAAGGTCCTGCATTCTGCTTGTCCTCTCCTCCCTTGATGGTCCTAGGGTCCTCTGTTTCTGGACTGTAAAACTAACTACTCCTCTGTTTTTGTTAAAAAATTTCTATCTTTAAAATTGTGACAGTCACGAAATATTGCCATTTCAATGGTCCATTTTTGAGATGTTTTAAATGGTTTGATGTGGCATCGAATTTCATTATTTTGCATGTGAGTATCTAGTTATTCCAGCATAATTTGTTGAAATAACTTTCTTTCTCCACTGAGTTGTCTTGGTAGCTTTATTGGAAATCAGCTGACCATAAAGCTGAGGGTTTATTTTAGACTAAATTCTAGTCTAGAATAAACTCTCAGTTCTATTCCACTGATCTATATTTCTATCAGTACCGCATTGTCTTCATTATTGGTTTTTGTTGTTGTTGTTATGTGCCATAGGGTTAGTTCTGACTTATGGCTACCCTGTATAGGGTTTCCAAGGAGTGGTTGATGGTTTGAACCACTGACCTTGTGGTTAGCAGTCCAGTGACTATCCTACAGCACCATAACAGGATTATTATTGTGGTGGTGGTTTTGTGCTATGAGTCGGTTCTGACTCATAGCAACCCTGCATAGGGTTTTCAAGACTGTAAGTCTTTACAGGAGCAGAAAGCCTCATCTTTCTCCTGCAGAGCAGCTGATAGATTTGAATTGCTGACCTTGTGGCTAACAGCCCAAGTCATAAACCGCTATGCTACCAGGGCTTACCTAGACTTATTGTAGTTTGTAGTAAGTTTGGAAACTGTATTTGTAAGTCCTCCAACTTTTTTTTTCCTGGGTCCCTTGTATTTCCATATAAAATATAGGATTGGGTTTTCAATTTCTGCGGAAATGCAGCTGAGAATTTTGATAGGAAATGTGGTGAATCTACTTGGCACTATAGGATCAGCACAGGACTTCAAACCACAAGATTGGCAATTCAAATCCACTAGCTACTCCTTGGAAACCCTATACAGGGTTGCTTTGAGTTGGAACCAACTTGATGGCACTTAACAACAAGAAGCCATCTATCAAGTCTTTTGATTTATGAATATGGGATGTCTTTCCATTTAGTTAGGTCTTTTATTTCTTTCAGCAATGTTTTCTTAATTTTTGCTAAACTTGTTCCTAAGTATTCTTTTTTTTTTTTCTGAAACTTTGTATTGTGAATTGAGTAAAGATTTTACAGAGAAGATGGTCACTTTTACATTTAACAAATCATACACTTTGTTTCATCTCAATTATTGCAATCCTCTTCATGTAACAATAATTATCCTACTTCCTCCCTGTCATTCATTTTTCTATTCCACCCTCCTTTCCAACCCTTCTGAACTTTGTCCTTAGGTAAGTTTTGCCCTTTTGATCTTGAATGGTTGACCATTCCATGGTGAGTATATCTTGCTAGCGTTGTTGTCTCCCCTATATACCTTTCTACCACGTGGCTGAAAATTGGGCCACAAGGGTGAGTTCTATTCCAGAACTGAAGGGTGGCTGGGGACCCCTAGTCTCAGGTTTCTCCAGCCTCTTTCTGATCAGTAAGCCCAGTCTTTTTTATATTTTTAAGTTTTGTTCTACATTGCCTCCCAGTCTATCCAGGATCGTCTAATCTGATCCCTTTCAGAACAGTTGGTAGTGGCAACTGGGTACCAGCTAGTTCTTTTGGTACCTAATATTCTTTTTGATGTGACTGTAGATGGAATTGTTTTCTAATTTTCATTTTTTTCTGTTTATTACTAGTGTATAGAAATAAAATTTTATTTTTATATATCGTTTTTGTATCCTGTAAACTTGCTGATTGTGTTTAATTCCATGTGTGTGTGAGCATGTGGATTCCATAGGAGTTTCGATATGCAAGATCATGTCACCTATGAATAGTTTACTTATTCTTTTCTCAATTGGATGCCTTGTTTTTATTTTTTCTTGCCTTTATTTTTAAGACTTTCTACACAGCATTTTAGTAATGCTAACAGTGGACATTCTTGTCTTATTCCTACAAAAAGCATTCAGTTTGGCACTGTAAGTATGATGGTATTGGAGGGTTTTTCATAGATGCTCTTTATCTGTTTGAGGAAGTTCTCTTCTACTCCGAGAATGTTGAGTCCTTTTATCATGAAAGGGTGTTGGATTTTGTCAAATGTTTTTTTTCTGTGTCTATTGAGAGGATCGTGTCATTTTTGTTTCCATTTTTAATATTCTTTTGTAAACATGATTTCCTAGTGACTGAGTAATATGGCATGAGAGTTTTAAATATAAACTTCTTCTTTTAACTTTTTGCTCTTAAAAATAACACCCAAACTGAAAAGAAGAAACCCACTGGTGTCAAGTTGATTCTGGCTCTTGACCCCATGAGACAGAGTAGAACCACCCCATAGGGTTTCTAAGGCTGGAAATCTTTAAGGAAGCAGTCTGTCATACCTTTCTCCCACAGAGCGACTGGTGATTTCAAACTGCTGACCTTTCAGTTAGCAGCTGAGTGCTTCACCACTGCTCCTCCAGGGCCCTTATGAATGAATAACATAACCACGAAACTCAAACAAGTGCAGCAGGTTAGTGATTTGCTCCATGTCACATGGCTAAAAGAGACCACGCTTCCTTACACCAGGTTTTAAAATGCCGAGGATTCTTGGATTTGGCACGCTCATGATAAATAGCACATCATTAAAGTCCCTGGCATAGTTAGCTTACTAAATGAGTTAAGTGAGGTTTTAAATAGTGAAAGAAGCAATCCATCTATAAAGAATGAGCTATCCCAAAATATAACAAGTAATGGCATATAATCATTGCCAAATGCAAACATAATCAATACAGGAAAATCCTTTGTTAATGTTGTTAAGTGCCATTGAGTCGGTGCCGACCCATAGCAACTCTGTATAGGGTTTCTTGGGAGCAGCTGGTGAGCTTGAATCACTGACCTTGCAGTTCAAATGGCTTTCCTTAATTCTTTAAAACTGTGAAACAAAACATTAGTGTAATTTGGGACTTGTATTTGTGGATGTTTCTGTATTATCTGTTATAGATTGAATTGTGTCCCCCTAAAATACAACGAGTGAGCTCTGGTAGCGTAGTGGTTACGAATCGGGCTGTGAGCCGCAAGGTCAGCAGTTTGAAACTACCAGCCGTTCCGTGGGAGAAAGATGAGGCATTCTACTCCCGTAAAGATTTACACCCTCGGAAAACCTGTACAGGGTCGCTATGAGTCGGAACCGACTCGATGGCACTTAACAACAACAACAAAAAATACAACGAGGCTTCAAAAATCGGTTGTTGTTGTTAGGTACTGTCTAGGCAGTTCTGACTCATGGCAACACTATGTACGAGGCACTGCCTGATACGGTACCTCACAATTGTTTTATGTTTGAGCCCATTGCTGCTGCCATTGTGCCAACCATCTCGTTGAGGTTTTCCTCTTTTTTTCTGAACTTCCAGTTTATCAAGCAGGTTGTCCTTTTCCAGGGACTGATCCCTCCTGCTAACATGTCTGAACTATGAGAGATAAAGTCATACCTTCTTTACTTTCTAAGGAGCATTCTGGCTGTACTTCTTCTGACATAAATTTGTTTGTTCTTTTGGCAGCCCCTGGTACTTTCAATATTCTCTAAAGCCATAACTCTAATGCATCAATTCTTCTACGGTCTTCCTTATTCAGTGTCCAACTTTCACATGCATATGATGTTACTGAAAAATACCATGGCTTAGGTCTGGCGCACCTTAGTCCTCAAAATGACAGTTTTACTCTTGAACACTTCAAGTCTTGTGCAGCAGATTTGCCTAATGCAATACATCATTTGATTTCTTGACTTCTTTTTCCATGAGTGTTGATAATAGATTCAAGCAAAGTGAAGTTTTTGACAACTTCAATCTTTTCTCCATTTATCATGATGTTATTTCTTGATCCAGGGGTGAGGGTTTTTGTTTTCTTTATATTGAGGTGTAGTTCATACAGAAGACTGTGGTTTTGATCTTTAAGTCCTCTTCACTTTCAGTTGCATATTGAGGTTGTTAATGAGTCTTCTTCCAATCCTGACACCATACTCTTCTTCATATAATCCAGCTTCTTGGATTATTCGTTCCACATGTAGATTGAATAAGTATGGTGAAAGAATACAGTCCTGATTTTAAACCATTCAGTATCCCCTATTTGATTGATAGTATCTGTTTGAACAACTGCCTTTTGGTCTATTTACAAGGTTCCTTATGAACACAATCAAATATTCTGGAATACCCATTCTTCGCTTTATTCATAGCTTTCCATGACCCAAACAGTTGAAAGCCTTTGCATAGTCAATAAGGCACAAGTAGACATCTCTTGAGTATACTCTGCTTCCAGCCAAGATCCATCTGATATTAACAATGATATCTCTCGTTCCATATCCTCATATGAGTCCAGCTTGAACTTCTGTCTGTACCCTATTGATGTAATGTTGAGGTAGTTTTTGAATTATCTTTAGCAAAATTTTACTTGCATGTGATATTAATTATATTGTTTGATGATTTTCACATTCTGTTGGGTCACCTCTCTTTGGAATGGGCACAAATATGGATCTTTTCAAATTGGTTGGCCAGGTAGCTGTCTTCCAAAGTTTTTGGCATAAATGAGTGAACAACTCCTGTGCTGCATCAGTTTGTTGAAAGATTCCAATTTGTATTCCATCAATTCCCAGAGATTTGGTCTTTGCCAATGCCTTGAGTATACCTTGAACTTCTTCCTTCAGTACCATTGGCTCTTGATCATATGCTACCTCTTGAAAAACTGTTTGAACACTGACCATTTCTTTTTGGTACAGTGACTGTGTATTCCTTCCATCTTCTTTTGATGCTTTCTACATCATTCAGTATTTTGCCCATAGAATCCTTCAATATTGCAAGTTGAGTATGCCACCATTTGTCTGTTTGTTGTACTGTGGTGACTTGCATGGTGTTGTGATGCTGAAAGCTATGTTACTGGTATTTTGAATATCAGTAGGGTCACCTGTGGTAAACTTCCAGACTAAGAGAAAAATGGGTAGAAGAACAAAATGAAAAGATAATGGAATTTTTTTCCCATGAGCTTTTTGAAGCCTTTGTCAATTTTAACTTCTATACCTGTGGGGACTCCTGATGTGGCGCTGTACAGTCAGCACTGGACTTAAAAGAACTATAAGGTCAGCAGTTCAAATCCACTAGCTGCTCCTCAGAAACCCTATACAGGATCTCTATGAGTTGGAACTGACTTGATGGTATTTAACAACAACAGGATACCTATGGTTATAATCCCATTTGGGACTGGGTTGTCTTTGTTATGTGAATGAGATAGGGTTAGTATAGGGTTATGTTTGTAATCAATCTCTTTTGAGATATAAAAGAAATAAGGTAAGTAGATGCTTGGAGAGCGATGCCACATCATATGAAGAAACTAAAAGAGACAAGGATCTTCCTCCATAGCCAACAGAGAGACATAGCCTTCCAGGAGAGCTGAATTCAGATTTCTAATCTCCTAATCTGTGGGAAAATCAATTTCTGACTATTAAATCCACCCACTTGTATTTCTAGTCTAGCAGCACTTGAGAACTAAAATAATATCTTTCTGGGGTTGAAATGTTGGTAATAGCTCCTGAAAGTTGGCACACAGGTAAAGAAGTTTTCAGACACAGACGAAAATACATGCATGCTTTTGAGTTTCAGATTTTGATGAGTGTTTGTTTCAGAAACAGAATGTAATTTGATGGACTGATTTATTGAGGGAGTGTTCTTAGGTAGGGAAAAGGAAGTTGGTCTTGCCTTTTTTAGACTCTCTTACCAGGACCGCAAGGTCGGTGGTTCAAACTCACCAGCTGCTCCTCGGAAACACTATTTAGAGATGCTATGAGTCGGAACAGGCTCCACAGCACTTAACAACAAAAGAGTTCTGGTGTGGCTCTGTAGGATAAGGAATCAACCGAAAGGTTTGTTTGAGCTGCAATTTTGGCTATTCAAACTTACCCCGCACTCCTCGTAAACCCTATACATGGTTGCTATGAGTCAGTTGGAACTGATGCAACAGCACACAACAGGAACACCACCAGCCTGTCAGGAGTCCCTGAGTGGCACAAATGATTAACCATATGACTATTAACTGAAAGTTGACTTTTCAAAGCCACCCAGTGGCACTATGGAAGAAAGGTCCGGCACTTTTCTTAGTAAAGATTATAGCCAAGAAAACCCTATGAAGCAGTCCTACTGTAATACATGGGGTCCCCATTGCTGTTGTTAGGTGCCCTTGAGTCAGCTCTGACTCACAGTGACCTTATGCACGACAGACTGACACTGGCTGGTCCTCACTGTGCCATCCTCACAATTGTTGCCATGTTTCAGCCCATTGTGGCAGCCTATCTTTTGGAGTCTTCCTCTCTTTCACTGCCCTTCTACTTTCCCAAGCATGATGTCCTTCCCCAGAGACTAGTCCTTTCTGAGAACACGTCCAAGTATGTAAGACAAAGTCTTGCCAACCTCACTTCTAAGGAGCATTCTGGCTGTATTTCTTCCAACACAGATTTGTTTGTTCTTCTGGCAGTCCATGGCATTTTCAATAATCTTTGCCAACACCCTAAGTCAAACGCATCAATTCTTTGGTCTTCCATATTCATTGCCTAGTTTTCACATGCAGATGTGGCCACTGGAAATACTATGGTTTGGGTCAGGTGTACCTTAGTCCTCAAAGTGACATCTTTGTTCTGACACTTTAAAAAGATCTTTTGCAGAAGATTTGGCCACCATTGTTGTTGATGAGTGCTGTCCAGTGGGTTTTAATTTATAGCAACCCTACTTAGAGTTTCCAAGGAGCAGCTGGTGGGTTTGAACCCCCGACCTTTCAGTTAGCCGTTCAGGGCTTATCCTATAGTGCCACACCGAGACTCCATTAGTTGGATTCAAATCAACTTACCAGCAGTGGATTTTGGTTTCTCAGTCTGTCATTGATTGTTTGCTGCTGACAAAAGTTGGTGTGTAACCTCTTTGGTGAGGTACTCCATTTAGCCAAGAGCAATTATTCAGAGAAGCAGCAGCTGCCAGCCATTAGCAACCAACACTCACAGCTGTTGCAGGATGGGAGCACCAAAGGAGGAGATCTGTGTGAGGCAGCAAGCAATATGGCCTCTTAGAAATAGTCTTACCAACTCTTTTAAAGTAAAGTCATCCACTTAACAGAAGTGTGCTTTTGTCTTTTACAGGGAGACGTTGTGGAGTACGTGGATGATCTTTTGGAGATAGAGGAGACCAGCTAGTCTGCAGCAACCAAGGAGACTTCCCTTGATGTTCAGGAAACACGGGGCATTCTTTGTCCTCTGTTTCCCAATGGCCCAGGTTTTGGATACCTCAGAGCCTTCCCTTGCTTGACTCTGTGAAGTGGAAGGGAAGCCCCCATCTCTCACTCCATGTAACTAGGGGTCAGCCTGCTTCTCCGTGCTCACACCTGTCTTGCAATCTTAATACCTTTTCTTCCTGTGTTTGTCCCTCTCTTCCCATGTTCACACCTGCCTTCCCCATGTTACTGTCTTTCTCACCATGCCGGAGGAAAGAAAGGACAGTCTTCCATGCTTTGTTTCTTTCTTTCCTCCAGAAAACCAGTATTATATTTTAAATAAGAAAAACACTCCTAAAAGATGGTAATTGTGAGAACCTACTTTGGCCTGTCTGCTCTTCCAGATTTTAGTTTCCCTTTTCCACTCCTTTTCAGGATAGATGGTCTTTATTTAGTCTGGCCTGCCCCACTCTGGCACCCGATGAAAAAACAGGACAGTGTAAAGTGCAGAAAAATGGACCAAGACTTTTACATCTCCACTCTTACAGTTGTTGGTTGAAGACTGGTCAGTTACAATACCAGTCTTCAGAGCTGGAAAAGGAAGAAAACTGGACCCTGTGTAGTTTGTGCTAGGCCTTAACCTATGCACTGGAGATACTGCATGGAATACTACTACCTGTCATCACAGAACTGATATTCTTTAGGGAGAGACTGACAACAAACAAGAATAAATATATACTAGGTACCTGATGGTGGTAATTGATACGGTGAAAAGTAAAGCAGGGGAGGGGAATAGGGAATCCTGAAGATGAGGCTGCAGTTTCCGTAGGGTGGTCAGGGAAAGCCTTACTGAGAAGGTGACATTAGAGTGTAGAACTGATGGAAAGAGGTCCCGGGAAAGGCATTCCAGGCAGAGGGAACAACCTGTGCAGTACCCTACCATGAGAGCATGCCTACTGTGGTCGGGGAATGGCTAGGAAGCCAAGGAATGGACTGGGAAAAGGGACGAGTAGGAGATAAGGTAGTTGTTGTTGTTAAGTACCATGGAGTTGGTTCCGACTCATAGCGACCCTGCACAGGGTTTCCAAGGCTGCAAATCTTTACGGGAGCAGAAAGCCTCATCTTTCTCCTGGAGAACAGCTGGTGGTTTTGAACTGCCAACCGTGAGGTTAGCAGCCTGATTCGTAACCACTGCGCTACCAGAACTCCTTTGGAGAGGTTTAAGTATATGTGGTGTGGGTGAGGGCAAATGGCTTACAGCCTTGATGTCAAATATAACGTCTTTGGCATCTATTCTCAGTGAGACAGGAGCAGTATCAGATTTTTCAATAAGCAAGGTAAGCATGGGTTTACTTGTAACTTGTACTTACTTATTAATGTATAGGAGTCCTGACGTGGTGCTGTGGGATAAAGCACTAGACTGTAAGATCAATTTGAACCACAAAGTAGGCAGTTCAAACTCACCAGCTGCCCTTGAATATCCTATGCAGGGTCGCTATGAGTTGGAACTGACTTGACAGCACTTAACAGCAACTACAACTAATGTATAGTGAACAATTTCCCATTTTCTACATCAAAGACGCTGCTTTTAGGTATGACTGGCATCTGTCTCTCTCTCAACCCCATGGTACACTCCTACAGAATCAAAGCCTTTTTTCAAATTTACAGTCTCTGACAGGGATGGAATACACTTGTGCTTATTAATCTGTAGTGAACAGTTTTCACCACATCAAAGATGGAGAGATAGAGGCAGGAGAAGACTGACATGCCATTTGGGAGATAGGACCGGTTCCACTGTGGCATGGAAAGGAATGAACATGTTTGACGTTGAGTCACTCCTCAAGGATTTAGAATTTGAGGTCTTTATTGTTGTTAGACGGCATCAAATCAGTTACAACTCATAGCGATCCTGTGTCCCACGGGAGAAAATGCTGCCCAGTCCTGTGCCATCCTCACAATTGGTATGTTTGAACCTATTGCTGCTGCTACTGTCAGTCCTTCTCGTTGGGGGTCTTCTCCTTTTCACCGATCTTCCACTTTACCAAGCATGATGTTCTTCTCCAAGGACTGGTTCCTCCTGACAACATGTCCTAAGTATGAGAGATGAAGTCTTGCCATCCTGACTTCTAAGGAGTATTCTGACTCCATTTCCTCCAAGACAGATTTGTTGGCTCTGGCAGTCCATAGTACTTTTAATATTCTCCATCACCATTTGTTGTTATTGTTAAGTGCCATCAAGTCGGTTCCGACCCATAGCGACCCTGTATAGGGTTTCCGAGGAGCAGCTGGTAAGCTTGAACAGCCGACCTTGCAGTTCAAACGACTTTGCAGTCTGGCGCATTAACCCACAGCACCACACCAGGATACCATCACCACTTGTTCTTGTTGTTATGTGCCGTGGAGTTGATTCCGGCTCATAGCGACCCTGTACAGGGTTTCCGAGGCTGTAAATCTTTACGGGAGCAGAAAGCCTCATCTTTCTCCCGTGGAACAGCTGGTAGTTTTGAACTACTGATCCTGAGGTTTGCAACCCAATTCGTAACCGCTACACTACCAGAGCTCCTTCCATCACCATTTAGTGGTGATTAATTAGGTGTGGAAATCACAAATTTTTGTTTTTCCAGCTTTTGAAGACCCCTCTTACACGATTCCTGCCTCTAGAAACTCAGAGGCCACTTTCTTTTGCTCCTTTTCCCTCATCTACCTTCTGAGGTCATCCTTCTTTACTTTCTCAAAGATCTCCACCCCAGGTTCTGCTTCCAGGGTACCAACCCAAGACTATACCCTACTACTGCTTTCTTTGGCTACTTTTGCCCTTGTCAGCAGAGTCTGTAATCCCAAGGGGACTGTGTGGCCAAAGAAGTTTGTATTATTACTGGCTTCATTAATGGGTGTGCTTTTGTGCACAGCAACCTCTCAGCCAGTGTTCCTCCAGCCCAGCCCTGAGTCAGATCCTACAGGACTTCTACTGGGGAACGTGGCCTTTCCCCATGGAAGACTGGGGTTTTTTTTCTTTCCTCACCCTCCACACCCAACACACCACCCCTGAAGCTTCCTTTTGAAGTCAGTAGGGAAGAGGATCATAGGGCAAGATGATACATAGAGGGGAGCCCTCTGAGTGGATTCCTGAGTCTGTGTAGATAGCGCACTCTCCGCTGATTAGCCACACGGCTCCTGGCTGTAGCTGTCCTCCCAGCTGTATGAGGAAGTGAATGGAGACCTCTACAGGGAGCTGGCTAGGTTGGGCATTCTGACTTACTCCACCTGTGTGCACTGCAGGGATTCCATTTGGGTCTTGGGTCTCTCGCTTTGAGCCTGGAGTGAGCTGTTTTGTGAAGATGTTCCACATGTGTGTATGGGAGGGAGGAGGCAAGAACAGTCTTCATTCATTTCTCGGAAATCTGCCTCTTTTAATTGAAGATTCAAAAGTACCCTAGCTCTGAAGACGAGAACTTGGTGCCATTGTGATCAACATTTTCAGCCATTTGCTTTGATTGAAAGTGTGGAACCAAGTTACTAGATTTTGTACTTCAAAAGGAACCAAAACCAATCTCTTAAATACAGAAAAAAACAAAAAAGTGAGCTAGTTGCTCCAAAACTGCCATGAAACCCCCGAGAGCAGACTGCACTCAGCGACCTTCACTCGACACCTGAGTGTGTTTCTTGGAAGAGCTTAGAAGATTCCTAGACTGAGCCTACATAGATTCAGCATCAAGTCTGGTCTGTCTTGAAAAAAGCCAACATATTTGTAAGCTTTGTGGGCATTTTCAAACCCAGCCTAAGATGCGTCTCTTGGCCTCTGACACACCTGAATGCTCTGTTTGGTTTCCACAGGTTGCTCCCAGGGAGACTCCCCACCATATGGGTTGAGGAGGGGAGCTCTCTTACCACTACCTTGAGGGTAACCCAAGCAGTGACATGCCTCATGGCCACTGCTAATGTACTTTTGAAGAATTTACTTTTGGAGTTGTGTATATGTATGTTTAAAAGTGAATAATTGACTGAAATGTAGCTCATACTGACATATTCAATACACTTAAGATCTTTCTGAGTTTTGAAAGCTTCCAACTACTGCCATCAACTTCTTGTGTTCACCTCTGGGACCCAGAAGGGGACCCACTGGGAATGTTGGCCACAGAGGCCACTTTAGGAAATGTGTGCTTTTAGGAGTTCTTATTAAAGGAATTTTAAGAGCACAAAAATTTTATTGAACTGAACTTGGTGGCAAACAGAAAATGATTTGTTAGATTGTCAATGGGAAAGCATTTATTATGACTGCCAGTGGAGTCAACAGTGGCTGATTTTTGGCCAACATTTATGGAAATAACGTTTTTAAGTTTTAAATGTAAGCTGTAAGCTGCTTACTTCAGTTTAAAAAAAAAAATTTTTTTTTTTCAATACTTAAACTGTGGGGAGGTGGACAGGCGCCAGAGAAAACATTCTCATTTAATAGTGTTTGAACATGGAACTGCAACACAGTTTGTAGCGAGGCACTGAGAAAAACCCACAACTAATCCTCATCGCAGCTGTCTGAACTCTTGATCATCTGCCATCCTCCAAACAGCGACTTCTTTTTTCTGGTGACTCCACGCTTGAATGACCTAGTGTGGGGAGTTGAAACTATATACAAGGGGGAAAAAAGGGAGCCTTAAATAAGCCTCAGCCAAAGGTTTTGTACATTGGACTTCCTGTGCCTGCAGTCAGGAGCATGGCTGTTCCCCACGCCTGTTCCCAGTGGCATCTTCCAGAGAGGGAGGACACCTTGACCTTCAGGCTTTTGCATACTCCAGAAATAAGTCAGGAACAGCGTGGTTTTGTGCCACCGTAGCAAGTTTTTCCCTGTAAACAAGTGAGTAGCCATGTCTTAGCATCTAGTCCTGTCCTATGGGGGTCCCTGGGTGACACATTTGGTTAAGGTCTTGACTACTAGCAGAAAGGTTGGTGGTTTGAACCCACCAGAGGTACCTTGGAAGACAAGCCTGGGATCTCTTCTGAAAGGTCACAGACTTGAAAACCGCACAGAGCAATTCTGTTCTTTGCACACATGGTTGCCATGAGTCGGGATTGCCATGATTCAGAGTGACAACGAGTCAAGACTAGACTTGATGGCAACTAACAACAATAGCAC